TTTAAAGCAATTCCAAAAGCTTTTTTATCCAGAAAAATTTTAAAATATTTATTTTGCAAGTGGTTCGGATCCCAATATAATGAATTTATTTTTGATTTTGATTTAAATATCAATGAAAAATGATTTTAAAAGGGGTTTTTAATTTAAATTATCTTTCCCAAGTGATTTTTTTCTCGATTTTGATTTAAACAATTTTTTCAAGAGGATTTTTTGGGAATTTTGATTTAATTCTCTTGTATGAAAGATTTTATTGGGATTTTAATATCCTTCTTTATAAAATTTTTGTATGCAATTTTTCAAATTATTTTTTAAATCAACAGTTTTCTGTTGTTGAGTTATACGATAAGATCAAGGTGTACTTATTCAAAATTTTGTGAACGATTTTGACTAGGATATAAAAAATTGTCAAATAAACTCTGAAAATTTGAAACCAAATTCTTTGTAACCCAGAAGAAGTTATTTTCTACTTTTTAGTCCACGCAAAAAACGTGGTTTTTTAAAAAGCTTTTTTTATGAAGTATTTTATTATACTTGCATGTGCTTGAATCATGAAAAATATTTAATTTGAATGCAAAAATTAAGTTTGCATATAAAAAAAATGAGAATAAAATCTAATTTTGTTCACTATTTTTCAAACTTTAAAAAATATTACACTGATCTCCAAAACGCCCACAGACAAAATTTTCGGGTAATATGAAGCACATCAGGTAATATGAATAAAAATACACGTGTGATTGTACGTGGTCAATAAAAACACACGTGTGATTTTATCCACCACTTGGAAATATATGTGGTGTTTATGAAATACACTGTTTTCCAGAAACACCACATACATTTTCAAGTGGTGGTTTTGGAAACCCGTGATTTTTGTTTTGTGGGTTCTTCGGGGAAATTTGCGTGGGGATTCTGGTCTGTGGGTGATTTAGCACTGCATCATGAATTACTACTTACTGAAAAATGAATATTTGTGTAAAGATATTTTGTCGATGTAAAACAATTAAATATGTAAGGTATTTCATTAAAGATTTTTATTAAATTTTTTTATTATAAATTATAATAAAATATGAAAATTAACAAATTTCTCACTTTTCAGACATATCTCTTACAGAATTAAATAATTCATCATCTAACATCGCAAATTTTATTCTTAATTATTGTCTCATTTCTTTTACTTATTGATTTTTTAAAATTGATTATGTACTTTAGATATCATTGAAAATATAGGTGTCAAAGCTATTCAATGAAAATCTTCATGTTTTTTTCCTCTAAGCTTTTTTTTCATGATCGTTAATTTTTCTTTTTGGCAGGAATTGTCTCTACTAAAAAATATGTCAGCAGCGATTTTATTTCTTAATTATATATCTTGTGGTTAAAAATGCATACAAGTTTCAATTAGTGGTTTATCCGAATTTCAAGCTTTATCAGTAAATACAAACATTGCCTTCTTTATTTGTCTTCTTAATTATTGTCTGCGTAAAGAGAATACTCATTTTTTATGCATGAAATTACAGAAAATCTACGAAATTACAGAAAAACGCTGGAAAGCGGAGAAAAAAATGAAAATTTTATGAGCGAAACAATGGATGAGAATAATCTCAGCTTTGAATTCAATCATTTTGCATACAATTTATATAGACATGCAACTACATTGTAGTATTTCTGATTTTTTTAGGCTCTACAAATTTTTGTGCGATTTTCGCATTGACCATTTTCGATAAGGACTTTTTACAACTTTAATTAAAAAAATTCATTTATAAATCGGAAGAAAGAAAATAATCGATTTATTTTTTGAGACACACTTTGCATTGCTACTAAAAATAGGACCTTTATTATTTAGGTATTTCCATTTACTCTTTTATAGATGATTTATTTTTAAAATATTGTTATTTTTTATTGTCATTAACATTTCGATTTTCTCACTGATTAAATCTTTTTTGTTAAATTTCTCATAAGTATATGTACATTACTTGAACCAGTAATGTATCACTATTAAGTCTCAAAGCTATATTTTGGAAATTTTACTGCCGTTCGAAATATTCAATTTAAAATATCATTTAATGGTGTTAAAATTTGTGGAATTTTAAAAATTAAAATAACTTTGAATTAATTGTTATATAATCATCAATTATAATTTTTCATAAAAATTGAAAAATAATTTTTAAATTTCTTCTTTCAATTTTAACTTAAATTAAAAAATATATTTTAAATATAAATAATTGCTGTAAAAAAATTAAGTTGAATGAGAAAAAGTGCTATTAAAAATTAAAAATACTGAAATAAAAATTTGTACAGTTGCTGAACTGCGTTGCTTTAAGCCCATCCTTGAAAACCTGCGTTTTAAATTTTAAGTAATGTGAATCATTTATAGTAGTTAAGAATTTTTTGCATTTTAAGTAATGAAAGATTTAAAAAATTATTCCTTTTTGCAAACCACAATCAAAATTTCCTAGGACTTAAAATGTAAATTATATAAAACTTTATTAACCTCACAAAAATGCTTGATGGATCTATCTATATCTATATTAGCATTCTTTATCATTAATAATAATAATAATGTGTCAAGGGCCCAGCCTTTCACCTGGAGGCACTGCGACTCAAATTAGAACAGAATCTATTGTACAACACCCTTTAGACCTACAGTTTATAGTGGGATCCGAACCACTCCACCTGATGGATCTAAGGGTCGTTGACTTATTACGTTACGTTAAAAAAACGACTTATTAACCCTCCTCTTGTCACAAAATCTCACGACAGAGTTTTCAAGTATAAGCTCAATTCAAATTAAGAAGCAAATAAATTAAACATTTGACTAGAAATCCCCAAAATATATTTTGGAAAAAATAAAAAAAAAATCATCTTGATCTCAACATTCATAATAAAATTTGTATTTTTTTTTTATATATATTTCTTCATTAGTTCTTCCTCTTTGAAGGCACAGGAGTGGAAGATCATTACATTAAAATTTTTATCTGCATTCTTCTTTTCTTCGTAAATATGTATACGTCTATGCTTAATGGAAACAATAATCATAAAGTATAAGTGTACATATCCATTAATATTGTATTTTTAATAAAACTTTTACATTTCTTTTAACAAATGTTTTTAAGTAGACGTTTTTTCATAAAATAAATAGGTATTAACAGAAAACTATTCTATTATTGGTTTGCATTGTATATGCATAAGATTTATGATATTTTAACTGATATGGAACCGTGTTTAACTATGTTTAAAAACAAAGGATGTAGGAATAATACTATTTAATGTTTTAAAAGGGTTTAATATTTATTTAAATTTTTGGCTGGTCATTTAAAATTTATTGTCGTTTCGATAAGAAAAGATTTACTTTATTGGTGATATCAACTGAAGCCATAAAGTTTCATTTTAAAAGACTTTTATTGTCAATAATTTTTGGGATCAAAATTTTTAAGAAAAATAATTTGGGATCTTGATTGATAACAAGAAGGTAGATAGATAGAATACTATAATTTATTGTCTTGATAAAGATTTTTTTTGATATATTGGCTTTTTCACTTTAAACTCATTTTCAAAAAATGTTTTGCGATTTCGGTTTGATCAAAATTGTCAAGCAGAATTCATGAATTTAAAAAAAAATTAACATTTTAAAATAGTTATTTTTTAAATTGTCACAAATTTTTAAATAAAGTCTAGTCGATTTAACTTTTTACATTTTTATTCAGAATCCAAGAAGATAATAAATAATTAATTTACTTTTTTTCTCTTAGATTTTAACTTATGTAAGTGGAAGATGATTAAAATCAACGCCGATATGAATCCTAATTAGTTTTTGAATTTTTGTAGCTCCTTGAATACAATTAAAGTTACATTCTTCAATTTTATTTGATTTATTTTAAATAAAAGATAAAAAACGTTATTCAAACCACAAATACACAATTCATGCTTTCAACATTATTTTCAATCAGAAAAATAACTTTTAACATTTTTTAAAATGAAATCGTTTATTAAAACTTAAAATATTTGTAAAATGAGAAAAATCTTTACCATTGTGAATAAAGTTTTAATAACTAAACTTCATAAACCTTTGAAAATAAGTTGAAGAAGCCGTGTTGAGTTTAAATTTTTTTTCTTCTTCTGAAGTATAAGTAAGATTATTGTATGTACAAAAAATTTTTAAGTTTGAAACTTTCATGACTTTACCAGCAGTCATGGACTATATTTTTGATATTTTTTCGTAATATGTATAAATTTCTTCTCTTAAAATTAATTTTGATATCTTATTATATTATTAATTTATTGTTCTTTTTTTTTTCTTCTTAAAGACTTGATTGAAAACAGTTTTAAATCTCATTATATTTTTTTTTCATTATTTACGATAGCAATATAAAAATTATGCATTTTAAAATTTTTTCATCATTATTGTCATCATTTTTACATTTCATAAAATGTGAAGTTTATTGATTTCTGTAGTTCACTAATATACTTTTTCAACATTAGTATAAGCATTTTTGCACTAAAAAAATTGATTTCATTTAAAGTAGTTTATTTATTGTACTAATAACTCCCAATCGACTTTAAGTACGATAATAGACTTCTTTACTTCTTATTATTAATTTAAATATCCATTCATTTAGAACTATTGATCATGCTGCTTTTGGTAAGCAATTTTTTTTTACTACAAAATATAATTTTTCTATTTGATCATGCACACGTTAATCTTGATAATATCGATTTATCTTCATTTTCTCATATTTCTGAAATCAGCTACTCGTGTGAAGTAAGTCAATTAATAAAAATTATTTCTCATAGATTTATAAAGACATTCAATAAATGCATCATCTTTATGAAGACACGCAAAGATTTATTTCATTTAAAAGAATGTATAACCTTTAATTAATTAACGTTTAGTTTTAGTATCACACGAGTTTATAATCTACGATGAATGATGTTAAGGTCATTAGATTTATTAAATTAAAAGCGTTTACATTTAATAAATGTCCTTTTGATCATTAAATTCACAAACAATCACTTTAAAGATTATTTGTTTTTAAAAATAAAAATGTCTGGATTAAAAAAGAACACTTCAATGAGCAATTACAATTTTGATTAAAAAAATGAATACTATTTGGACTTTTTTGTTGAAGCATAACTTAATAATATTTATGCATGCTGAATTATTGTCTTGATTTCAAGAGGTAAGTTAGAATTGATTATAATACTAAAACCTTTTTTGCTATTGATCTATAGCAATTATAAAATTATAAGTATGGAAAATTAGGAGACTTCTTAGGAAGAGAACATCCCTACATTATTTACAGTACATGAACTTTATGGCAATTTCTAACGTTTCTATTTAAATTGACGATGTTTCGTTTAGTAAAATTATTTAGATATTTCTTATCATAAAGAAGAGCAGAAGAAATGTTTTGAGAGATTTTCATTTTCTAATTTGTCAAAGTGTAATACGAATTAAACATATTATTTTCATTTCATTATTATCATCTGCTATTATCACGTCAATGAGTTAAAACATGTTGAGCACGTGTGAAGAATAATGCAAGTCGATTGCAATTTTCTATTCAGGCTCAATATTTAAAAATTGACGAACCAAAAATAACGTTATAGAAGAAAAAAACTTTTATAATTATTCATGCTTATTCACATTGCCGTTTTTAAGTACGCTAAAGCTATGAGAGAAATAAATTGCGATCAAATTATCAGCTAAATACTAAACTAAATATTCTACGTGTGTGACCATATCTCATCGATTTATTACTATTGTTCTCATATATTTTGGGTCCATTTCATCTAAATCCTTTCCTTTTGTTTCTGGTACAACCATTATTACAAAGCATAAGCCAACGCATGATATGCAAGCAAAAAGCCAGAATGCTCCATCTAATCCAAGAAGTTCCTGTGTACGAATAAATAAATAGTTGATACATGTACTTGTCTAATATAATATAAAATTACCTGGAAATCCACGAAAGTTTTGACGCCAAGAAATGCGCAAAAATATGAGAAAGATGTAGCAATTGAACTACCAATACCTCGATACTCGAGTGGGAAGAGTTCTCCAATAAGAAGCCATGAAATTGGTGAGATTCCTATTAAATAAATAAAAAATTGTAATTAAATCACATATTTTAATGCTTTTTCTCTCTAATTTACCCAAAGAAAATGCTATTGTGAATATTAGAACACAAAGAAGAGGAATCCAGTCGTTATTTCCTCCTGTAACATTGTTTTCATCATAATGTACGTAAGAGCCGAAACTTGCTAAAGCAAGTGACATGAAGACACTACTAATAATGAGCAATGGAATACGTCCGACGGTATCGATTAACAATCCGGACAGCATTGATGCAAGTAATTGAACAAAACCGACAGCAACTGCACCACCATGCGGGTTCATTCCGGTGAATGTTTGTCGGAAAATTCTCACAGCATAAAAGCCAAAAGAATTGGCACCTGATAATTTTTTAAAATATATAGTGCATTTATCGCAAGATTATTAAATTTACTTACCAGTGAATCTTTGGAATATCATCAATGAACAAGTAATCATTACCGGCCTAATCAGTCTAGTATTTCTGAGAACTGACTTTACATTTGTTACAATTGTTTTGAAAGAATATTTCATTGGAAGTCCATTATGACTTGTTGATGATAAATTGCTATTTATATTATTGTCAATATTTAATCTCGATGTACGTATATTTGAACGTATCGTATCCAATTCAACATCAACGTTCTTATGTGGGCCTCGTAGCCATTGAAGGGATCTGAAAAGAAAAAAAAAATTCAATAAATTTATTGATGAATCGGAATATGAAAGAACGATGAATATGTTGAAATGCGAAGGAAGTATAAGAAAAGAAAAAGGTTTTAATATATCATATTCAAGTACAAGCATGTTTTATCTTAGGCAAACGATATTGATAAAATTTGCATCGTCTAAGAATTAAGACGGAAAATATTTAATATAAAAAATATATTTTCTATCTAAAGTCTTATCAAATCGTATTAACTACAATCTTATTAAGGTAGAGCATATGTGAGAATTCCAGGACATTCTTTTATTTCTTATTTTCATTCTTAAGCATGTGCTTTGTCTGTTTTATTATGTCAAGTAAGTTGTCATTTTTCTGCCGACCACACATATCACATAATGCATCTTTTGGAGCATGTGTGGCTTATTACATTTTTCTCCCATTATTTCTTGTTTCACATCAAAGAAAAATTTATTAAAAAAGGAGGAAAATGTTCGAAATTGAAGAAATGAAATTTTTCTTCACGACTTAGATTTATTTAATGCTTCATTAGAGGTAGTGAAAATGTCTGTCTAAAAAGAACTTTTAAACCACTCTAATAAAAACTCCGATAAATCAAAAGCATTTCAACATCGTGTGGTTTTCTTAATACTTACCGATATGCATCTTCATCACGTCCTTTTAACATTAAGAAGCTCGGCGTTTCGGGAATATAAATCACAGTCACAAAAAGCATCATCGGTGCTACCGACACAAGCATGGCAAGTTGACGCCAATCGAGGATTGCACCAAGCATGTATGATATTAACATACCCAAGTGTCCCGAAACTTTCTGAATGGCACTTAAAAATCCACGAATATCGGGTGATGATATCTCACTTATATAAACCTATTGACATAAAATAAACTACATTGAATTGTTTATTAATAATAATTCGACATAAAACACCTTACCTGAGTACATAAATTAACAATCGCACAGCAAAATCCACCAATAAATGCGGTGATGAACATAGTTTCTACGGATTTAGCAAACACTGTAAGAATCCACGAGAGAGAAAATGGCAAAGAGATAATGGCAAGAACTCTTTTTCTTCCATGCTGCATAGCCATTCCGCCAAACATTCCACCAAATAAAGCACCAAGCAGTGATAACGATGCCACCCAACTTGCTTCTTGATCAGATACTGAAAAACTTGAATAATTTGTGTGTTGGTTGCGGATGTGGAGCTCTTGAAGACTTGCTATTGCCGGACTAGAATAACCTTTCCCAAGACCGGCCGCTAATGGACCAAGGGATACTGCTAAAGCTGCTACAATCTGAAATATCGAAATAGAAATAATTCGAGATTAAATTAATTTGAGAAATTTAATGCTGTCAAGAAATTCAATCAAGTGTAATAACATGCTGAATAATTTAGAAAATTTAATTAAACTTTTTCATTTTATGCGATTATAAAAGAAAAGGCCAGTAGTAAACACTTTTGTTATGTATTAAAGATTATTTACTACAAACTGATTATTATAATCATTAAAGTGTCTATTAACACATAGATGGGCGGTCCGTCGATTTGCTTGTGAGAAATTGCAATTAAAATGTTTATAAAATATTGAGAGATTTTCTTGCCGTATGCATTTTAAGTTGTAGAAAAATCGTATTGTAGATTTTGTTTAATTTAACCTTATTGAATGGAAACAAAACCAGATTATTTCACAGATTGAGACACTGCTTTTTATTACTGTACAAGGATTTATTTACATTATTTTTAGGTATATAAGTAAGCAAAGTCTGTGTAGAAAATCTCTGTCGCTGCCGTCATTGCAAAAAACAGCAGTAATTTGTACGTTTCTCTTAATTCAAGATCAACATTTGATAAAATAGAATAAAATTGTAAATTTTACTGCTTGTAGTATAGACTCTGAAATTATTGTTGTCATTTTCAAGCATATATTAGAATTTTGAATGTATGAGGTATCATCTACTCATAAATTAAGGCTAATTAATGAGTAGCCAAACTATGTAAATGATTTATTCAAGTTTTATTTAAACTTATTATTTAATTTTTGATTTAAAAAATCATTGATATTCGTAAGCAAATCATAGGATAAAAAATGAATTTACATCATTAATCAATTTTTTTTCATAAACTTATATAATCAACAATAAGTAACGGTTTAAAATCAATAATTGATTTATAATTAGCTCATTAATTACAAGTTTATTTGATGATCAATTTATGTAATTTTAGGAAATTTTGTTAAAATATTTATCTTCATGTATCGGAAATATCTCAATCTGATAAGTAGACAGAAAAATCTTTTATTACTTGAAAGAACAAGGAATGTGTCTGCTTTGAATAAAAATTATGTCTCTACTATTATTTATTGGACTATCTCACATGTTGTTGTGTAACGTGTTTACAAAGTTTATGAAAAATTCTTATTAAATCTTTTAAAACTAGAATTTTTACGCCACACGATAAAAATTCATATTAATTAAATGCTTTACTCTGATATACGATATTTAATAAAATGCATACCCTGTTTTTTTTTTTGTTTTAAGCTAGTAGCTTAGGAGATTAAAAAAGTGTCTTTTTTGGCTCACTAGTAGCTTACTAATGAGTAGTAGCTTAGTAAAAAAATTGAACTTTAATGAAAATTTTGAATTTTTTAACATAATTAAAGAAATTTTGCTATCTTCTTGATTTTATTTCATTGACAATGTCATAAGGCATTGAAACTGATACCAAGAAAGTTGTAAAACATTAATTAAGCTTTATTTTTGGGAGTAGCTTATTAAAGATTACAAAAAAATTTCAAGTTCAAAAAAACTTTACTAAGCTAGTAGCTTTACTCTGTGAAATTGTTAAGGCCGGTGACAAAATATATCATGTGTTATCTTCAAAGCATCTTAATTTAATTGAACGAATCTGCCAATTAATTTAAATGCATTTTAATCATCTATTAAATTAATTTATCTTTTATAAATGTAAGATTTATGTAGACTAATTTTTCAATATATGATTGAGGTGGGGTGTATCTACTAACGGCTACTGACTAGTAAATTTTATAATTAAGCCTTTGAAATGATCTCAAAGACTAAACTTATTTGTATGTTCTGAGAAATACTCTAAAAGCCCAAAGACTGATTGTTGACAAAATTTAAAATTTATATCATATAAATTAACATACAAATTGTTTTTCTGTAGATTTTATATTTTTTTTCCTAATGAAAATTTAATTCAATTCTTTTTACAATACATGTCTTGATATCTTTTTAACATAATCATTCGAAACCTTGGAAACAAATCTGATAAAGAATGATTAATGGAAAATAAAACTCAAAGTTTTAAAAAATTTTAATTTTAATAACACATTAAATCATATAAGTAGGCAAAATACAAATGATGATGATATCGCGAATTTTCGAAAGAAAAATGTTCTTAATTATTTTAAAGTCCTCTTGGATTCCTTTCCTATTAAACAAAAGATTTTTATATAGATTAGTATTACAGCTTTTTCTAAAGTAGCTTTCCGACTTTTATACGATAAAGTATATTACAAATATATATTTACACTGCATATTTTACAGAGATCGAAGCCGATTTTTTCGGCTTAACTCAATTTTTGATTTTTTTGATAGAAAAAAGCCATTTGACACCCATTTTAAGTATTTAAATTGAACTTTACACGCTTTACTATGATTCTGTGTAATATTTTGTCAGCAGCTATAGTAGCTATAGTGAGCTCAGAATTTCAATTTAGCCGATTTTAAGCCGAAATTTAAGCCGATCGGCTTAAAATCGACTAAATCGATCTCTGGTATTTTATATGGGCAATTCCACAGATGAGTGGACTTTTGTGAAAAAACTTTTTTGATCCATGATTTTTAAAAAAAATGATTTCTTGAAAAGTGCATTTTAACTTAATTACGCTTCTTGAAAACCAGTTAAACATATTTATTTGGCTTTATATTCATATGAACACCATAAATTGTAAATAATTATATTCTCATGGATTAGGAAAATAAAAGCTTAAGCATTGCATCTCATGTCATGTTTCATAAATTTTAATTTTTCTACTTAACCAGTGACTTTTAAGATAATTTTAGTATGCAGAATCATAAAAGAAAACACGAGAAACCAAATATTTCCTTAATTATAGCAAAAGGCAATAATGTCAAAAAGATAGAACTCAGCGTTTAACATATATTTTGACAGTCTTTGGAATGTCTGGATTGCTTAAATATGAGAAAAATTATCTCAATTATAAAAATTTTGAAAAAATCCATCTGTGGAATTGCCCAAATGCTTCACAAAATTTAATAATTTTTTAAACATTTGTAAAACTTTTTTCATTATTTCAGACTTAAAAGCTTTTTTTGAGGAAAAATCTACGACAAATATTGATTTTAATTTCCAAGCATGCTATGCAAAAAAAAATATTTGCATGAGTAAAAAGAGAGAAGAAAATTCATTCATTTAAATATATTTACAATGCGTCTTTAATTTTGGTTTCTTTCTTAATTTAAAATTTTTTTTCATTCATAAACTGGATTTAAACTAAACATTAGGCACAATATAGCAACATATGAAAAGATAAAATGAATATTAAAATTCATATATCACTTAAAAATGTACATGTAGATGGTAGGAAATGTCTTTTAAAAAGTATCATCTAAAGAAGGATGCAGAGTAAAAAAGTGTTTATATCTTTTGGAAGGCTTTTACATCAGAAATCTTTTTCTCCTATTTATTTTCTCCTTCGTTTTCACTTTTATGATGAATTTTAACCCCACTTTTTCTTGCTTGGTTAAAAGACTAGAGGCACATAAATCAAATTTCGTCCTTTTTTATTTAACGAATGTTCCTGAATGCAGAACTTTTTCAATGTTTGTGCTTGCGTTGCATTAATCTAAACAAATTTGTATATTTAATAGTGTATTTTCCTAATCTTTTCAATTAATTTATTAAAATCGCTAGTATTCGAATAAAATCTTTTAGACGTGTTTAAGCATTTTTAAAATGATAAAACAAAGTTGGTTTGCTCATCCCTGCGGTGACCGGTAACAAGTAAAACATACTCAAAAATAAATACATCAAATTCAACTTGATTTTAGTTCTTTTTACAATATTCCTAGTCTGTTTTGAAATAAATTAGATGGAGGCTTCTATCAAAGTATTTTGTTAACTTTACAAGTTAAATTCATTCTTATTATGTCACGAAAAGAAACACAATACTTTATTATCAATCAATATTTACATATGAAAAGTCTTAAGCCCTAATCAGCAAGTCTTTTAATTTTATTGTTTTTGTCTTTGAGTTATTACCATAAAAAGTTCATTCACAAAACATTAAGATAACGAGAAACATTAATTATTTTTCGCTCTGCATATAGGTATTTTCGATCAGTCGGTTTAAATTTATGATATCGCTATACGCATTCCATAAAATAAAAGAAATAAGTCCATATAGGTCCATCGAGCGATATTGAAGTTTTCTCTTGAAATTTCTTAATGTTAATTGAGTGCGAGCTCATAAATTACTCATCCCCGCAAGTCGCGTGTGTTTTGAATTATATTTTTAAAATTTAAAAAGAAGACAAGAGATAGAAACCCATAATGTTGAGTTGACTATCAGTAATTTGTATGTATTAGCATAAATTTACAACATGGGTTTATATATAAAAAGGAAATTACTTCATTTCGAATCACATCAGTACACCCATTAATAATAAAAACTAGTTTTAATGCCGCATGAAAATATATTTTCAGACCTTATTAAAAATATACTAGTTAAATTCGAGAATGTCATTGACTTCAATTCAGTAACAAACTTAGTAATATCATTCCTTAGTACTCACTTTAATGGCATGAATTGTTTGATGATTTTGATTTTGTTTTTTCATCTTAAAATTTAAAACAAGGCGTCGAAACTCAGGATTTTTGGAATTAATCGTTCATAATCCTACAGAATCCTGAAAATGCTTAGCGCACATGAGAAATTTTAAAATTTTTTAAAAATCCTACTTAAAGTTTAGAGTTTACACGCCTTGATTTTAAGAGTACCTTTCAGCAACAAAAATGGTTTTTTTTGATTTATGTAAAAGAAGCTTCGTTTGCATTTTAGTAATTTTAATAATCAAATTCATGGCTCTGTTTATTTAAAATATTCAAGAGTGTAAATTCAAAGATAAATGTTAAAAATTATATAATTCAAAAAAAAAATCAATAAATATGGTATTCTCAACATATTTTCATTTTTCTTTGATAGGTTTACCGCATACAAAACATCAAAGTGTAATTAATCAATAATATACG